TGTGTGTGTGTGTGTGTGTGTGTGTGTGTGTGTGTGTGAGAGAGAGAGAGAGAGAGGCAACGCTTTAATAAACAAACATAATCCCTTACTCTTGTGAACGCCGTAAAAAGCAAAAGAACAATTGTCCTTTACATCCACAAATGAGACAGGAAGCAGCTCAGAAATTAGATTAAAGAACTATTGTGAAAACATTCATGCATACAAAGCACCACGATGACAGAGATAAACTAGAAATAAGTTAAAAACAAACAAACAAACAAACAAAAACAGCGTTCGACGCCTTGCAGCTCCTCAATGCCAAAACGGGTAGAAGTTTGAAAAAAAAAAAAAAAAAAAAAAACGAAACGAGAAAAAAAAGGCAATGGATGATTTGGCAATGGCTATGCGCTCCGTTCGCCCCCGAATTGAACTGCAACTCCCTGGTACTTGATCCGTCGCGACTCCAACAGCAGAAGACGAAACAGCATGACTTCAGAAATGGGTGCGAGGAAAACGTCCTCACTTAAAAAAAAAAAAAAAAAAAAAAAAAAAAAAAAAAAAAAAAAAAAAAAAAAACCAAAAAAAACAAACTAAGAAGGCCACTCAGAAAGTTACAAGTATGTTCAAGTAATTCACAAACCAAAACGAATAGAAATCTGTGAAAAAAAAGAAAAAAAAAAAAGAAAAAGAAAAGTACCTCTCTCATAGCTTACCACATGCCCATGACTTGTTGCACACATGTCAAGCTATTGATAAGAGTTCAAATCGCGACGCGATCAGATGTGCGTCGTAACAATAACTCTACCTGGTAGGGGGTCCATCAGACCACAAAAAAAAAAAAAAAAAAAAAAAAAAAAAAAAAAAAAAGAACTACTCCCTTGTTCATATTAAAAGAAAAAAGAAAAAAGAAAAAAAAGAAAAGAAAGCTACTGCCTTGCAGCTGACAGCATGCCCGGGGCTGGTGCACACATGTCAAAATAGTGACAGGAGTTCAAATCTTGATGAAACCAGATGAGCGTAGTAACAATAAGCCTAGGGGGTTAAGACACAAACAGACTTAAGAAACAAACCCTAACGCTAAACCAGAAAAATAAAAAAAAAGAACCTAAAGTTCTAAACACGACAAAACAAAAGACAAAAGAAAACAAGACAAGACAAGACAAAGACAAAACAAAATCAGAAACAAGGTGAAGTGATTAAAAAAACAGAAAAAAACGATAAGTGCACAAAAAGAAAACAAGAAGTCAAGCTGGCGAACCAGACTCATTCTATAATATCATATCATATTAGTAAAGAAAAAAAAACGAGCTCGAAAAAAAAGAAAAAAAAAGGGGGAAAAAAAAAGGAAAAAAAAAGGAAAAAAAAAAGAAAAAAAAAAAGAAAAAGAAAAAAACGGCTGATTCATAGTTCGAAAACTTCTAACTTCGAACTTCGAACTCGTAACGTTCAAACTTCAATCCAAATGGAACGAGCCCAACGTTCAACCTTCAATCCAAAAAAGAAAAAGAAAAAAAAGGCTGATTCATACTTCAATATTTGGAAAGAGTGTGTGCGCAATGAAAGCGAAAGCGAAAGCCAACACACGACGCAAATACACACACATCTTCACGCTAAGTAAGGCTGTACACCTACCAGCAGAGCACGAGTAGACAGTGTAGACACCATTTTTTTACAAAACCTACGACGAAAAGAAAGGGTGAGAGCTGAAACGTAATGACACGGAGGTGAAGTCGGAGAAGTATTAGTAACAAACCTACCAAGTACAAACTGAGGGGGGGGGGGGAAGTATTAACACCAAAGAATTGGACATTGAGACAAATGTCTTTGCACAAGAGTTAAGGACAAAAAGGGACCAACAAAATCCAACACAAAGACGTAGCCCCCTTCCCGTCGGAGGCCCTCAAAGGAAGACAACAGAGAATTGTCCTAGATCTGGCTAAATTAAAAGAAAAGAAAAGAAAGATGCCACCCTCCATGCTTCAGCACCCCATCAGCTGTCCTGGAAAACCCCAAAGAACTGGGGTCATCCAACGTCTATCAGCTCCGAACACAAACTGCCATACACACACACACACACACACACACACACACACACACACACACACACACACACACACACANGCACTCCATCAGCTGTCCTGGAAAACCCCAAAGAACTGGGGTCATCCAACGTCATCAGCTCCGAACACACACGTACAGACACATCACCGCACACATCACCACACACACACACACACACACACACACACACACACACACACACACACACACACACACGTAACGGAAATCATTGTACCTCGCTGAGCACATTACTCCGTCTCTGTGAAAGTTACTAAACGGGGTATTGTAGTCCTAACTCCTAAGCCACTGCCACTGCAGCCAGGCGATGGGTAAAAGACAACACAAAGTGGGCAGTGGCGAAGAAGAAGGAAGGGGAAGGGGAGCCGAGTACGATGACCGACAGCATAGAACATGCGGGCGACTGACGCGAATGGCAGGATTGATGATGAATCTCCCTTGTGCCAGATCGCGCTGAGGAGCCTCAAACTCTTCCAAAGTCTTTATAGATCGCTTGACTAAGATTCGTATCCCTTCAATTGACTGCCCTGAACTGAAGGCTGCTATTTTCGGCTGATACCTATAGACGAGACAATCTCAATACCTAGAGGAAATCATCTCAATACTGTAGCAGTCTGCTCTATAACAACACCATGTTTCATGCCACTTAATGGCTCTCCCATATTATATCAAGCTCATTGCAATAAAGCAAGGCATAAAAAAAACCTTCAAAACGAACAAAACTAAGTCTGTTAAAAAATCGATAACGCGGAGGGTGGCAAGTTGACAACAACATTTTTTCACGAGCTAGACAACTGACGCGAGGAACGTCTGCTACGCACCAAACGGACTCCGTATGTATTTCGAGGAAGGAAAATGGGAAAAATGAAGGATGGGAGAACATGATATGCACCTACTCACTCCCAGATTCAGACAAGGACTTTCTAGGATGCATCTGGCTACAATCACACCCGGATTCGGTTGAAAGAGTCGTGTAGTGTAAACGCTGGGCCTAAGACTCCTGTGGTCGGACACATAAGCACACTAAGGCGATTCATAAAATGACTCATACATTACTACTCTCTTTTTGTCAGTGCGCCGCTCACGGAATATTCACAGAAACGCTCTACCGAACCTGCCTGTCTCGTACAAAGTTCTACCTATAATTTTTCTCTCTAGAAAGGTCTAGATTTCCCATCCTTAGCATGATCATGATGGTGCAAGAGCACACAAACACGGCTGCCATCGACAGGAAGACGCTAAGGGGCACATAAGGGCCCCCTACCTGTAGCCTTGGCATCATCGCAAGGGTGGGAAATCACATAACGAACACACAGCTTCCATCATGGCCAAGATTGCCCAAGGTGCACGTAAGGCAGCCGCTACCTGTAGGCTTCGGCCATCATCGTGGGACATCACAACAGAGATGTAGATGCTATCCTGGTGATGATCGCCAAGGGGCACATAAGCTCCTCTACCTGTAGCCTTGGCATCATGTCAAAGGTACAAAATCACACAAGCAACACAGCTTCCATCACGGCCAAGATCACACCAAGAGGCACACAAGGTGCCTTGACTACCACGGAAGCGGCAGAGCCGGTCACCTACTACTAACACAGCAGAGGAACCAAGCTCCTCAAGCCCACCTCTCTCTACATGGATCACCATCCGTACCTGGTTGCATGCAATGCATGGTCGATATCTGTATCATTGCTAACAAGGTGTTGGTCCTCTCAGCACACACACACACAGAGCGAGAGAGAGAGAGAGAGAGAGAGAGAGAGAGAGAGAGAGAGAGAGAGAGAGAGAGAGAGAGAGAGA